CCTAAATAAAATGTTTTTAACTGTGTACCAGTTTAACATTGAATATTATTTATGATTTTAACATTATACACAAGTGCCAAAATACTATAATTATCACAGCATATCATACTATGTTCCACTTTAGGTACTCATATACATTATTGTAAAATATTACTTTAATGTACTTTCATTAACAAATCAGTAAACATAAGCTGATGACGGGCTTAGGCTTGAAATGTTCTAGAATAAATCACTTTCTAGAGTAACTAGTTTTTTTGTTTTGTTTTTCAAATTTGCAACTATTTTGTTTTTCTCTTCAGATTTTTATTTTGAATAATAACATAAGGAATTATATTAAAATGTTAAAAAGCTGACTATTCTCTCACCCAGTTTTATTCGCCTTTGTTTGAAGGTCTTGGCAAACTGTTCTAATTCTTCAAGGTCTGTAATTTCTTCAGGACTGGGTTCAGTTGCTCTGGCCTTGACTTGAGGAGGGGCAACAGATGCAGTCTAGTAATAAAAGTATAAAATCTCCTGAGCATTTCTTGAAACAAAAGTGAAACTAGTTCCCAAGATACACAAACAAACTTAACACTGAGCATGGATATCCATTAATTATTTTAAAGTTTACCAATACAAATGGTTGAATAATGAATGATCATGATGGCATGTAATACATTTTTCATGTGTGGAGCACACCTTTAATAATTTCTGAAGGATATTTTCACTCTCAGGAAGTATGTTTTTTTTCAGGGGGGAAGGGGGGTAAGAGCTGACAAAAATTGCATTCTACAAGTTACAAAGGTCATGTCATCTGTAGACTTTCTGAGCTACTAACCCTTCATCTTTATTACAAATATCATTACTATTTTTACTGTTTTTAATTACTCCTATAGATTCTTTAATATTTATAGTCATCGTATCATTCAATCCAGTCAAAATAAGAGTAATTTAGGTTATATAATAACCTTCTGCAGGTTCTGTGTATGTAAATGATGTAGCAATATAGAGTACATGATCAATATTTATAGTCAAGATATTATTCAATTCATTCAGAATAACAGTTTTTTAAGTTATATCATAACCTTCTTTAGATTCTTTTGGATATAAGTGATGTAGTAATATAGAGCACATGACCAATCCTCAAGCTAACTGTGTCTTGTATTTTACAGTCCTGAAGATGACGTTGATCCATCAAAACATGTATTTTGAGACCAACAACAGTCTCAGAATATTTTAAACTGTTGATCGTATAGTATTTAAATAAAAATCCTATGCGTTTTACACACACACATTAATCGATTCATTGAAATTTTGACCAACACCTTACATTTCATTCTTCCTATAAAAAGCCTTATCTTCAATTTTGCCCCTCATGCAAAGCCCACAAATTCATCCATACCTACATAAAAGTCCATTATGTTTACGAATTACTGCATGCATAAAATTGTATACAGTTCATTGAAACTTGCATAAATCTCAAAAACATCTGTGTACCCTAAAATAAACCCTAGGATTTTCACTAGGATTTAACATTTTCCAACACTGAAAATGTATTTCCGATAGATATTCACCTCCGAAATACTTTTTCAGTTTTAAAAAATATTAACTTCCAATATATATTTAACCTCTTCTCAAATCTATCTAGAATCCCATGTTGAAGTGGTGGATAGACCATTGCAAAATTTTACCTAGATGAGCCTCCTTCAGGAAGTGCCCTAAGAGAACCCATGGAGTGTGACACCTTGGAACACACTCATAGGAAACTGCTTCTTGTCTGTACCAGGGTACAGTCTTTTCCCAGAAAAGAAAGGAAGTGTCTCAAAGAAAGTGCTGTGTGTAGTGAGGCTAGGGCATATCAAACCATACACGATGAGTCAACTTCTGTCCAAAACCAGGTGGCACCTTGAATTTGGCTCCTGGGCCATGGTAGAAGGAGGGTCCCTTCAATCTTCCCCTAAAGCCCAGGAAGGCAGAACGGGAAAGTAACATCAGCCCTGCAACTAAGTCATGACAGTATGAAGGGGAAAAACTTGTCAGAGGGGTGAACTGTACCACATCACCCTACTCTCTACCGAGTGGAATTGGATACATTAAAAAGGCATCCTTCATGGTCCACTAGAAGAAAATAAAGAGGGGGGTTGAAAGTGTAGTGGGGAGTCCGGAGGAGTGCATTAACATAAAACAATGCAATAAGCGACCATGAAAACCCTATTTTTAAAAGCAGGCTAGCACTAGGTTTCAACTATGCATGGAAGATGGGTGGGGATCCCTATCCACTTTATTTATGCTAGCCCACGTGTGGGTACAGTCTGGATCAGGCCTAACTTAGGAAAATGAGCACCACAAGGATACTTTAAGCAGTCTTGTGGAACACCCCATCTCATGGACGAGTGCTATATCAGACCCAAACGGCCCTACACTGTGCAGATTTTGGTTATGAGTACCATGACAGGCAACACTTGTCACTGAGCAAGAAGGTACCGTAAAATCAAGATATGATAAAAAAAAGGAAGACTTATCCAGTCAGAGACAGTATAATGTATGAAGAATAGTAACAGGAGGCAGTTTATAGCCCAACAAGGAACAAACAGCTACATGATGGAGATAGTGTGTGTGACAAAGGTGTGAAGGGTCATCCACATGTCAGCCCAAATAATGTACTCCAACAGATGACAGAAGTGAGCAGCCAATGATGCACTTAGATGACGAATTTGATGGAAGGACAGCTAGAAAGGCCAACATACATTTCCATCCAATAAAGAATATAATAAATAGCTAAGCTGTTGGACCCATCCAATAAGAATAACAGAAGAAAGATCACAAGTAGATGAAGGATTCCATGGAATGAAGAGACAAGGTCAGGAATCATGAAAGGGAAAAGTGTGGACTAAATAATAAGAGACCACATGAACAGGACAGCAAAGGCAATTGGGATCTGAATGGAAATATAGATGAGAAATGGATGGAAAAGATATAGGGGTGAACACACCCTCACGTGCTGGCAGATGTTTTAAGGAGAAAAGCACAATCCAGATACAGAAGGATATAGAAGCAATGGAGTAGAATGTGAGAAGAATTGATGGCATACACATTAGGACCTCAAAAGCTACAGCCAAGAAGGAGGAGGAAATAAGTTTTAAGGGACAGATGGTATAAGAAACAGGAAGCCAAAGGTTCAAGGGGAAGTAAGGTAAGGGCATGAAGAATAACAATGAGGTCCCAGCCAGGTAAGCTAGAAGGACAGGAAGGGCAATGCAGGTAAAAGAAACAAATAAACATATTAAGAACTGTAATAATTCAATCGAAATGGGAAAACCAGAAATTAGCCTTGAGAGCCACCTAGTAATAATAGACAAGCACTGGTTAGAAAGCTATGTGAAGAACTCAGACAGATGGGGAATGGAAGAATGAGAAGGTAAGAAGGATTGATGCAGCAATAAATAAGCCACTTCTGCTGATAAACATCTAAGGTAGACAGGAAAACAAAATGAGACAGGAAGAAGGCTACATGTGAAGAGAGTCCCGACCATTGTGCAAAACCCATATGTGAAGCCAGAGTTATGACACAGTTGGATGGAAAAGAGAAGTATGAGGTTGAAGAAGATGGGAGCAGGTAAGCAAAAGAAGAAGAAGAGGGGAGGAAGTCAGAAGGCTCAGCAGAGAGAATGAGCTCAAAACATGAGGTTGAGGGTTCAGAAACAAAGAAAGTGAATGCCCCCTGGAAATTGATTTAAGATATGACAGTTAAGTTGTCTGAATGGATCATCAACATATGGCCACATACAATTTGAATAAAATGATCTAAAGCCTGATGAACTACTATGAGCTTCAAAGGGTTGACATGAAAAGTCAATTCCTCCTGGTTCCTTTGATCAGAAATCTAAAAAGAGTTATGACAAGCTTCCCAATCTGCCATGGAAACATCTGTAAAAGTATGTAGATCTGGATGCAAGGGAGGAAGAGTAACACCCACTGTTGGTTTGTTCCTGTCAAGCCACCAGGTGAAATCGTCATACAGGAAAAGTTCAGATGGACAAGGGATCCCTATAGAGATTCCATTAATCACGTACAGTCAATTGAAAAAGAAGCACGTGAGTACAACCCAAGGGGACAGGAGGTTCCATGAAAGCCCAAGTCCCAAAAAGAGATAGAATCTCTCACACAGGAAGAGAAGGAGAGGATAGGATGGAAAACAATATTCTGAAAAGGGGGCTAAATGAAGAAGGGAAAGTAAAGAATAAGAAGAAATTGGGGAAAGTGAGAAAATTTAATATATTGGAGAAGAAAAGTCACAGAAATTTGCAGAATACTGAGGTAGATTAATGTTTGCACTGGAAGAGAAGCCTGTGTCAAGATCTGAAAAATGCCCACAACACAATAGCCATCCTGCCTCTTGACAGACAAAGAAGCAACCGACGCCATTGTGGTAGTCAGTCTAGAGTGAACCAAGTCCAGATATTCAACACTAGACAGTATGGAAATGATTGTCTGTGTAATTCATGTTGTGGAAAATAAGAGCCACAATAACTACAGAGGCAGAATTGTTTGAAAATAAAAACACAAAAATTCCACAACAGGGGGTTTTGTAGATACTTCAACCAATGTTGATGTTGAGAAAAGTCACACGAGTGAAAAAAAGACACATCTTAACACATGTGTACCAAATTGAGAACTGATGGTTGAACAATCAGTATAGAGGGAGCCAGCTGCATTAAAAGGCAGTGTCGCACTCCTATTGGTGGAAGGCTGTCACATGCTCATTTGCATGCAACAATATCACATGAAAACACATGAGATTAGGTGGTAATCTCGAGGCTAGTGAACAGCTAGATGTCAGTGGAGGTTATGTATCATATTAGAACTTCCATAAGCTCTTACGCACTTCACAAAAACTTGCACAGGCCCCACAGTCTCCTATGCATCCTTAGAAATACCCTAGAAGTTTCACTGTTACTGCTTTCATGAACTCTTACACAGTTCATTAAAACTTGGAAAGGTCTCATGAACGTCAATGTATCCTAAAACAAACCCTCAGATGTTTACTTTAACTGCTTATGAAATTTTATACTACTGTTCAAGATAGAAATAAAAGGTCTTTACAACATACAATACTAAAAATTGGATGTGATCGAAAACTAAAACAATATAGCTATTCACAATCTGAGGTATATATCAGTTGAATCACCTTTAAACTGCTACAGAATATTTATATAATTAGGAATATGCAGAACAGCAACATCATGCCATATTAGTTTTAATTTTAAAAAAATGCTCCATGTACAAATTGCAATAAAAGGGTCAGTATTTCAAACAGTGTTTCCATTACAGTATCATATTAAGTGTCTAGTGTATAATTATTATATTTACTTACTTTAGGTTGAGGTGAAGATCGAGATGGGAGGATCTGGGATTGTTGCTGCTGCGGTGGTTGAGAAGACTGTGAATGATGTTGTTGTTGTTGGAGTTGCTGGAAGTGTTGCTGGGCAGCAACAACAGCTGCTGCCTGTGAAGTCAGTACTCCCTGAGGAAGAGAGACTGCAGCTTGGTTTGCTTGAAGTTGTAGGTTCTGTAAGGACTGCTGCATTAGAAGTCCCTATATTCAAAAACACACACACAAAATAAGTATTTGAAATAGTTCACCTTTAAAATATGGGTTCAGTGCAACATTAGTTAGTAATCTGAGAAAATCATTGAAAATGTTAGACTTTTGAAGTTTCCTGGCTGTAAAGTAGGCGAAATTTTGTATTTCTACAAAGGGTACACAAAGAAAAAAAAAAGTGTAATACCATAGGCTTAAAAACAAACACATTTCAATATATTCTAAATACAAAAACAATCACATGTTAATACATTGTACATACAGAAACAATCCCATCTCAGTATATTCTAAATACAGGAACAATCACACTCTTCATCAGAAACAATCACATCTTAATATACACCTGGAAAAAAGTTAAGCACCCCTGTGTTTTTTTCAAGTGATTCAGATTCGACGTTCTTGTGACTGATTATAAATTACAATTCAATCTAAACGT